CGTCAAGTGTGGCAGCAGTAGTGAGGTTGGCCCAGGATCGGACATTGTTTTGTTCTGCTGTGCATGGGGTCGCTATGAGTCGGTTCTGACTTGATGACACCTGACAACAACAATTGTTATCATGTTTGGTAGGATGGAGGGTCAGAGGAAAAGAGGAAGACTCCCAATGAGATGGACTAGCCAGGTGGCAGCATTGATAAAGACTCAAGCGTAACAACAGTAGTGAGGTTGGCCCAAGATCGGGCAGTGTTTCGTTCTGCTGAACATAGGGTCACTATGAGTTGGTACCAACTCGATGGCACCTAACAACAGCAACAATTGTTATAATGACTAATTGAGACTGTCACAATTGTAAAGGTAGAAGTTTTGTAACAAAAAGAGGGGAGTAGTTAATCTTATAGTCCAGGAATAGAGGACCCTAGGACCATCAAGGGAAAAGAGCAATAGCGGAATGTAGGACCTTATCCAGAGGAGCAGCAACCCCAGAGATGGAGGCAGAGCTGTGGACATGGAGAGAGAGAGCAGCTGAGGACTCTAGACTCATGGGAAGAGAAGGCTGGTGTGCTGGCAGCAAGGAGACAGGCTTGTAGAATGTGCCCTTTGGTTGTTTAAATGATTATATATTTAGTGTTTTTGTGTACACCTACAAAAACACAGGGAATAGAAGCAAACACTGTTAAATGATGATGCACAGAGGGGATTGTAATCATCGCAATGAAACGATGAGTGTAAAACCAATGTACTCCCATGTAAACTATAACTCAATTCACAATAAAAACTTTAAAAACATGAATGTTATTTTATGCTGATCAAAACCATTTGGGGAACTTTATGCAATAACCAGTAGCATCTTGATCACCATTTGAAAGACATACAAATAAACACTTTGGTTATGAATTGGGCTGCTAACCTCAAGGTCGGGAGTTCAAAACTACCAGCTGTTCTGCGAGAGAAAGATGAGGCTTTGTGCTCCCACCATGAAGATTTGCAGCCTTGGAAACCCTGTCCAGGGTCGCCATGAGTTGGAACTGACTCCATGGTACTTAACAACAAGCCAACAAACTGGTGTGGTGCTGTGGGTTATAATGCAGTGGACTGTGAGGTCAGTGGTTTAAGATCACCAGCCGCTCCTCAGAAACCCTATGCAAGGTCGCTATGAGTCAGAACTGACTAGACGCCACTTAACAATAACAACAAAAACTGGTAAGTGATATATTAGTTGAGCCAATGCAAAATTTACATTTGGGGAAATTTGATTTAATTTAAAAATACGTGTTGTCAAATCAGTAAACAAAGTCTGTTTTTATGTCTTTCTTGACCATTCCTTGAAATTTCTGTAACACATGTTGGTTCCCTTTAGTCTGCATTTAGTTTATTTACTGAATCTCCAGATGGAATAATCTGAGAAGGACCTATAAAAATTTCTGGCCAAGACTGCATAAACCTGATTTATAGAAAATACAATCACAAGGGAACACCTGAACAGAAAATGAGGAAGGTTCCATATAAAAAAAGAAAAAAACAAAAACGGGAGTGAGGGGGATGAAAGGGGAGAAGAGCTT